TATATATAGATTTTCTTTCATTTTTCAAGGAAGACAGAAGATTGCGATTGACGTTACATTTAAATTTGTGAAGATCGTAGATGATAGGGAAGCTAAAAATAGTTAAGAACTGCGAGAAAAGAAACTATTAGCATAGAACTTACGGTTGCCTTCTAGCTATTTCAAGAGTTAAACGCAAAGACAATCTAATAGTAAGCTTAAATTCCTGCGGAGAGCTCATTAGCACAACTACCCGGAAAATGATTGCTGCCTAATACAAAATGATATATTTTCCACCGAAAAGACCTTACTTTTATTTAACATGTTTTGCCTATAAACTGGCGCCATTAAATAGATATTAAAGTAAAAGTTGTTTATTTTTTTAAAATTATCTATTATACTTATCATTACGTCGAATTCTTATCTAATTTCACTCACATTATCTATATATAAATACATACATACTTATTTTTAATTTTTTTGTAGTTGAACGAAATGTTTTTAGAATTTTTAAAAATTTTTTAGTGAACGAAACGTTGTCAACAGAAAAAAAAGTTTAAACATTCAACTGTTTTTCATATATTCCATCTTACATATTTTGTTCGAGCATTTCATATCAATCATTTTATTATATATATATATATATGTGTGTGTGTGTGTGTGTGTGTGTGTGTGTGTGTGTGTGTGTGTGCGGGCGCGCGAAAAACGACAAAAGGAAAACATTTCTCAGCCGACGCGTTTCGTACTCTGAGGAAATTTGTCGAGGCAAATGTGCTTGATGAATTTGCCTTGATAAAGTCCCTCCGAAGATGAAACACGTCGGCTAAGACAAGTTTTCCTTTTTCTCTTTTTTCAGATTCTCCTTTTATTCATATACCCTATCTGAAATTTTAAATTTGGACGCGAGGTTTATTAGACATTGAATTGTATCACCTCACGTCCATGAACTTGCCTGACTTTTCCGCTAACCTGATGAATATTCATGAGCACCCTTATGCTAAATATACTGAAAAACCAATAACATTTTAGCTGTTGTATATAAATAATTGTCACAAAATAAAATACTTACATTTGCCCTGACAAAGTCCGTCAGAGGATGAAACGCTTTGGGTAAGATAAGTTTTCCTTTTGTCTATCTTCATATTCATTAACACACACACACACACACACACACACACACACACACACATATATATATATATATATATATATATATATATATATATATTCAAAAATAATAACATAAGCATGTTATAACATCACTAAAAATAAATAGCCATTTTGTTTCAACACTTCTGTTGTCTTATCAAGCGATGATGTTGATTGTGAAATAAAGAATTTTTTTTTTCATTTTGTACCAGCATCTCGACTCCAGTCATTTCCCCAACCGCCTAGACGTGGTTTCCCTGTTTCTTTTCTATAAATACTTTCATAACAATTGTCTAATGAGCTTCCCTTCCTGGTACATCGACTGCATGAATTCAAGCGTGCCACTAGATTGGCAACTAGATATAGCTACACGCAACCGTAAGTTCTATTCCAATAGTTTCTTTACTCTTCTGCTTTCTCGTCACCTCAGTCAGTTAGTCATGTGCCACACTTAGGCGATCATGTATCTTTCGATACATGACTGACGAGGCAGATTCTTCTTCCGCAGTAGGTTACCATTTCTTTCTGCGGTAGACCCGGTCTGTCCTGCTTTTTACCCATAGCTGGTGGGGAGAAGAGGATTCATACCTTTCCCAAGGGTATTATCACATAAGTGAATGTAATGGATTTGACTGGAATTCGAACTCCGATTCCTCAATTCGAGCACCTATCCATTCAGTTATGTGCCATACATACAATGCTTAGGCGAATGGTAGATTTATAAATGTGTGAGATTCTGGTAAATAGTCTTAAAATTCTTGAAAGGGTTTTGGCACCTTCTACAGACATTAACATCTCCAAACACACCATTCTCATTAAATGTTAATTCTCTATCCATCAATATAGACACTAATATTCAGCCAGTTATGTGCCATGCGTGATATACGCTTAGGCGATCATGTATCTTTTGGTACATGACGAGGCAGATTTTTTTTCTCGCAGTAGGTTGGCATTTCTTTCTGCGGTAGACCAGTTGCCATCCAAAGCTATAGAACCCGGTCTGTTCTGCTATTTACTTATAGCTGGAGGGGGGGAGGCAGAAGAAGAGGATTCATATATTTCCCAAGGGTATTAGCACGTAAGTGAATGTAATGGATTTGACTGGAATTCGAACTCCGTTCTCTCAATTCGAGCAGCTATCCATTCAGTTATACACGCTTAGGCTATCATGTATCTTTCGATACATGACAGCAGATTTTTCCGGCAGTGGGTTGGCATTTCTTTCTGCGGTAGACCAGTTGTCATCCAAAGGCTATAGAACCCGGTCTGTCCTGCTATTTACCCATAGCTGTTGGTGGGTAGGCAGAAGAAGGGTATTAGCACGTAAGTGAATGTAACGAATTCGATTGGAATATCGAACTCGAATCTCCGATTCCTCAGTCCGATTCGCTATCCATTACTCCACCGTGCCTCCCCTGTCACTTACGATCTTCAAAAAATTAAATGCAACATCAATCATCATCTTCACTCTTCCTGTAGCCTTTTCTTTTAGTGTCAATTCTCCTCACTGACGTTTTCTCATTTTTCTTTCACTCCCAGTAACTACTGGCGTCTTGGTGGCATTATCGCCTTCCTTGGGGTGAAATGATTAAATTATTACTTATAGGATGCAATTAAGTTAAATGTCACGTTTACAATCCAAAATAGTAGACAAAAAAAATGAGATTTAAAAGTGACTTTTTAGCAAATTAAACAATCAATATCTATTTTCTCAACAGATTATCCATCTTTGTCAATGCAAATTTAAAATACTTATAGGAAAACTTCGAACAGCATTTTGCCACGTTTCAGGCGGAATCGAACCTGCGCCCTTCTTCAATTTCATTTTCCTGTTCTTAACGGAATTCTTCATATAGCTCAATATACAACCAAAAAGAAAAAAAATAGGTGTTTTATTGGAAGACACTATTGCTGCAATAATTGCCCCTTGTCTCACAAGACATGGCGATACGTTAATAATATCCAGGGGCACTGGATCGAGCTGAAAGGAAATTGTGCCAAGTCTTTCTGAACACTTGTAGGGGAGAAAAGAAAGAGTCCAGAATACTGAAGCAGATTTCATCTCGTAACGTTTTCAGCAATGGAGAAAAGTCCATAAAGTTTTGCTGATGACAAACATTTATCTTTAGACGTGCATGATGTTTAACAATTGTTTCTGTGGGTGGTTCACTGACCCCCCACCCCCAAAAAAATTCTCATATTTTTTATTTGTTTATTAAAAACATTTCTTTTTATCTGATTTTACTTTCATCTATTTTTAATTTTAAATGTGCGATTTACACACACACACACACACACACACACACACACACACACACACTCTCTCTCACTCTCTCTCTCTCTCTTTCTCTCTCTCTCTCTCTCTATATATATATATATATATATAATAAAGAAGTTAATGGTCAGAGTTGAATTAGGCCAGGAAGCAGTAATATTAAAAAAGTGCTCAATACATATATAAAAAGAAAAAATTTAACATGTAGAGCTTTTAAGTATATAAAATTATATAAATATATATAATATATATATATATATATATATATATATATATATATATATATATAAATTGTGTATAATTTTATATATCAATAAATAGTATTTAGAAAAATAGTATGACAAATTGGAAAAAAAAATTTTTGTGGCGCGTTTTATGCTAGGATTTCATCGGCCTGTACTTTGTTGGTGTTGTCACGTTAACACCTCTTTTTTTTTACAATTTGTCATACTATATATATATATATATATATATATATATATAAAACATTGCAATTTGTGATATTTTCTTGTCACGTTTACACCTTTTTTACAATTTCTCATACTATGCATATATATATATATATATATATATATATATATATTCATGAATCATTCATACAAAAACAAATATAGTGGTTAATGATTTAAATGGCGAGAATACATCGTCGCAAACAATATAAATAATTATACATCAACCCCGAACCTGTATATGAATGATATGATCCCTGTTTATAAATTACAGTTGCATACACCTTTTTCTTTTACAATTTATCATACTATATATATATAAAGCATTGCCATTTTGTGATATTTTCTTGTCACGTTTACACCTTTTTTACAATTTGTCATATTATATATATATATATATATATATATATATATAACAGTTTTCATTGACAAACACTGAAAAGGCATTGCGATTAACCTTTTTGTTACATTTTCATGCATTCTTAGAAGTGATTTCTTTATTGGACATATTGTTTGTAAGAACCGTTCAAGTAAACTTTGAATCCGATCACTTTCGGCTAGTCACTTTCAAGGGTGTTCTCTTTTTTCTTAATATTTCTAGTTTTCTTTTTAGCAATAGATATGTTTTAATTCCAGATCACAACATATTGTAATCCAATTCGGCCATCAACATAGATATTCACAATTCAAATGATACTGTGGAGAACTATGACTCCATCAATACTTAAAGTGAAATGAACGTAAAAGTAAGAAGTGTTGATTCAGGGAAATACTGACGGCCTCTGAGAATAATATCCGGTATGTTTTTGTTTTTTTTATCTCTTGGGGCTAGAAACCTTTTAACGATATACCTCTTCTCTCTGGCCACACGCATTGATTTTCATGCTTTCATCTTCATCAAATGTTTATCTTGAATGGCCATCCTATTTACCAGAATAAGAAGACGCCAGACAAAAATTAACACTTCCCTTGTGATATCTCGTCAGCTGCTTCATAACAAATGTCGCACTTTCCTTACGTTTAACAGCATCTACGAGTCTCTTTGAACGACATGAATAAGGCTCAATGCAAAGAAACTCCAGACGAGATATCTCGTCAGCTGATCTCAAGCGGCACAGAAAAACTTACACAATTATAGAGATGCATATATGACATTTTTACTGCAACAGTCTATTCCTCCCTCTCTCTTTTTCCCCCACTCTCTTGCCCTCCTCTCAAGGTTCCTCTCTCTCGCACAATTACAGAGACGCATATATATATATATATATATATATATATATATATATATATATAGATAGATAGATAGATAGATAGATACAGTCACTCTCTCTCACGATTATAGAAACGCATATATGTCATTTTTACTGCTGTAGTTTTTCCTCTTGCAAAACTATAGAGACTCATACATGTCATTTTACTGCAACAGTTTTTTCATCTCCCTAGGCTTCTCTCTCACACAATTACATTGATGAATATATATTATTTCTTACTGGTACAGTTTCTCTATTTCTTTCTCAAATTTACTCTCTCGCACAAATATAGAGACGTATATATGTCATTTTTAGTGCAACAGTCTCTCTCACTCTCTCATTTGCTCTCTCTCTCTCTCTCTCTCTCTCTCTCTCTCTCTCTCTCTCTCTCTCTCTCTAGGCTTCTCTCTCGCACAATTTTAAAGACGCATATATATTATTTTTACCGATACAGTCTCTCTATCTCTCTCACACAAATTTTCTCTCTCGCACTATTATAGAAACGCCTATATGTTATTTTTACTGCTACAAGTCTTTCTCTCTCACAAGGTTTTTCTCTTGCACAAATATAGATATATGCATATATGTCATTTTTACTATCACAACAGTCTCTCTACGCCTCATTCTCTCCCTTTCTTTTGCTAGGTTTTTCTCCCGGACAATTATAGGGACACATATACCAGATGTAACAGCAACACCGGCCAAATTGCGATAATTGTCCATCCCACAAAATGTTTAATATCTAAAAAATCACTGAACCAATTAAGTTTCTTTCTTCCAGGTTTTCAGATAAGACGTTTAGCCATCTTGACACCATTTGTCGTAAAAATTACTGAAAAATTCTTTGAGTTGTTCAGCTAGAAACAGAACAGGTTAAAATCGTTTTTTTTTTTTTTTGTCAGGCCTACTGCTTTCCCAACTGAGCAATGGTGAGAGGAAAAAGATCATTCGGGCCTTCAAAGTCAATTCAGGAACAATGAATAAGTTTAAAATCAGGAGGTCACTACAGGAAGAGAGGTCATCATTTTAACTTAGAGCTAAGGAGTTTAATTAGAAAAGAACCAACTCGATTCATAATTCGTTTGGCACGTG